TGTTGGGGCCTGATTCGGGCATGATTACACATATTTTACCCTTTATTTCTTGATTGTTTGGTTTGGAAATCATCATCCTTCGACCTATTTTACGCTAGGTTGTGCTTCTTTTGTTATATTTCAGGTCCTAGTACGTGTGGGAAGGTCGAGGTCGAGTTTCGGGTATCTTTGGAGTTCGAAAAAGTGCCAAAAAGTGAAGAAAAGGCTAAGGGATCACGGTTTGGTGGTGATTATCAGGGCCTCCTGGCCGTGACAATTGCAAAGATCCAGAAGAGTTCAAACGTCTCGCGGGCAACGACAGATGTCACGGTCACCAAACCGTGACAATTTCTAGCTGACCGTGATATAGGACAAAAACGGCAGCAAACGCTTGTGCTTTTGGATGAGATCACGGCAGGGCTGCCAATGTCACCCCCGTGACATCTGACCTTGACATTAGCTCTCGGGCTGTATAAAAAGAAAGCAGCGGGGAGAGAGAAAGGAAAGCTGGTTTTTGGGAGAAGAACTTGGTTCTCTCTCTAGAGTTTCGACCCAAAACACCAAAGAAAGTTTTTAAGAGAGAGAGAGAGAGAGAGAGAGAGAGTAACCTTGAGTGATTTTTTAGCTTAATTGGTGATTTGGGTTGATCTTAGAGTCAAGAATTCAAGCCTAGAAGATGAAGATCTTGAGCTATGTTTGTAATCTCTCCTCTCTCTATGAACTAGACATCTTTCTCTTATTGATGAACCCTAGATCTAGATTTTGGTTTGAAGTTTATGTATTTGACATATTCTATATTTGATTGATGATTTTATCTATTTGATGGATGGTTTCATGAATTGCATGATTTTGGATTCCACTTCGTGTCAATTGAGCTTTTGACATAGGAGAGATAATCTTGTTAGAGCCCATTATTAGTGTTTTCGGGTCACTCCTATCATATGTCGTTTCGGATAATCCCCGAGAGCTGATTCGAACGATCTCCTAATGACATATGAATCCCTAGGTTTAATAGGCCCGAACTATACACCAAAATAAACAATTTGGCCAGATCCGACTTTTGACTGTTAACTTGGACGGTCAAACGCGTTGACCGTTAGTCAAAGCGCCATGTCACTGCCAAGTCAACATAAAATATTTAAAATAATTCACAATTTCCACACATTTCCTAATTTTAAATTATTATAAATTAAAAAAATCATCTAACACTTTAGTTAAACCAAAAATGAAAAATGAAAAAAAATAAAATATTTATCAGATCTTCTGACTTGGCAGTGACGAGGCAGTGACGTGGCGAGTTGACCATTAGTCAACACGTTTGACCGTCCAAGTTAACGGTCAAACATCGGGTTTGGCCGAATTGTTTACTTTGGTGTATAATTCGGGCCAGGATGTTATAGATCGAAAAAATTGGCCAGGATGTTTTTTTTTTTTGGCATAGATATGGATCGTTTTAGATATTACAAGACACTCGACAACCAAACGCGACAGTCGACAAGTAGTCGAACTGTCGATGAAAGTGCATTAGAAGCCACTAAATGGGCAGCCCTGTTGTACAACCTAGGAGTAAAATTACAATCAAAAAAACTGAACATCGCTGCCACCGAACAAATCTCCTCCAAGATCGCACCTCCCGTTCCATGGTTCACATCCTTCATCCTTATCCTGTGAATCAATGGCTGGCAATCTGGGTAATACCGCCCAAAGGCGAACAGCACCTGACAAGTGTTGGCGAACCCGACAAATCCGATGCTGCCCCCTGCATCCTGCTTCCAAGCTCCATCGAACCGGACCAGGACACCATCTGTTGGGCATACCCCGGCTGGTACCTGAGCCTGTGCTGCCTGGCCAGCTCCCATCCGCGACCGAGACGCCCCACCGCCAGCTCTATGAAGTGTCAAAGGCGCAGTGGCATGCTGCCACTCTTCAACCTGCGCACGAAATTGACGAAACAGAGCTCTCCCCATGTATTGGACGTTCTTATGAAGTGCCCAGCAGCGAGATTTCCACACTCGCCAACAAATAAACACTACATCAGCAATCTCAGACTTTGAAAGATGGCAAGAGAAAAATAAAGCATTCCAGCAGTCCGACGGTGCCAAACCTTCCAGCCTTCTGCGTAAATCACCCAGTCCGGCAAGTACCCAAAGTTCTACAGCGACCCTGCAATGAAGGAAGGAATGGGCAATAGTTTCCGCGCCATGGGAGCAGATCGGACATTCACTATCAGCGACCAGCCTCTTAACTTGTAACACCGCGCGCACGGGAAGGAAGCCGCGGACCACTCTCCACCAGAAGAACTTCAGTTTAGGTGGAAGTGGCAAACTCCATAGTAACTTCCAGAACCTGCAATCATAAGGCAACGGGGTAGGAGGATGGGCAGCTAGCATCTCATCCGAAAGAACGCGGTACCCGGTTTTGACCGTATACTCCCCAGTTGGAGAGTAATGCCAAATGAGCTTATCTTGAGAGACCTGCATGGGAAGCGGGATAGATAGAATTAATGCCACCGACTCAGGCATGAACAGGCTTGTCAGAAGGTCCACGTTCCATGACCGGGAAAATGGGCAAATGAGTTCCGAGACAAACACAGGACAAGAAGTAATATGCGGCTGCAGCAAGGGAATGGAGGGAGGGTTCGAGGGGATCCACTTATTTGCTAAAACCTGTACAGTAGCCCCATTTCCAATCCGCCAGCGGAGACCCCGGACTAGAAGGTCCCTCCCGGCTAATATTCCTTGCCAAGCCCAGGATGGCCTCGGCCCCGGAGTCGCCTCCAAGAATGAAGTATGTGGATGGTATCTTTCTCTGTACAGCGATGCTAGTGTTGAATCCGGACTCAGAAGTACCCGCCAAGCCTGTTTGGCCAGGAGAGCAATGTTGAACCGTTCAAAATCCCGGAAGCCTAGTCCACCTGCAAACTTGCTGAGACACACCTCCTGCCACAAAAGCCAGTGAATGCCATCCTCTTTATCCTGATCAGCCCACCAAAACCGAGACAACTGGCCATTCAACCTGCGACAAGTGAAAGAAGGCAATCGAAAAGCAGACATAGTATAAATCGCGGAAGCCGACCCAATAGACTTAATCACCGTTTCCTTCGCAGCCAAGGACATAGCTTTAGTCTTCCACGACCTGATCCTAGCAGCCAATCCTTCCTCAACAAACCGAAAAGTCTGAGTCTTCGATCTTTGGACATGGATGGGCAGCCCTAGATATTTGTCAGCTAAGCTCGAGTCCGCCACCCCCAGGAAGGAACCCAACGCCGCACGCTCCTGGTCAGACACATTAGAGCTCACACACATCGACGACTTAGACAGGTTAACTTTTTGACCACTAACCCTCTCTAGCTCATCAAACAGGGCTAACAAACTAGCACATTCCGGTAAAGAAGCTCTCAAAAACAAGTAAGTATCATCGGCAAACAATAAATGTGATGTCAAAGGAGCATTTCGATGCACACGCAAACCATGCAAATTCACCGCCATAATCTCACTAGACAATTTTGCCGAAAAGGCTTCTGAATAAATAGCATAAAGGAGGGGCGAGAGGGGATCACTTTGGCGCAATCCCCGATGGGGCTTGAAATACCCGTGTGAGTGACCATTAATTAGAACAGAAAAGGAAACCGTTGAGATGCAGGCTGTGACCCAGCGCCGCCACTCATAACAGAACCCCAACCGTTCCAAAATCAGCAGCAAAAATGACCATTCAACCCGGTCATAAGCTTTTTCCATGTCTAGTTTAAGCGCCATCCACTTATCCCGGCCCTGCACTTTAGTTTTCAGAAATTGCATAACTTCCTGGCCTATCAGGATATTGTCAGTAATCAGTCTACCACGCACAAAACCATTCTGAGTAGGGCTCACCACGTCAGGTAAAATCACACTGAGCCTAGCAGCCATAAGCTTAGCAATAATTTTGTAGAATACCTGACACGACCCGATCGGTCGGATTTGTCGCATTGTCTCGGCATTCGGTACCTTCGGTAGCAAGGAAATCAGCGTATGGTTGAAGTTATGAAGAAGCCGACCAGTCCTAAAGAAACTTAGAACTGCATCCGTGATCAGTGAACCCACCACCTCCCAATGAACTTGAAAAAATGCAGCTGTGAACCCGTCGGAACCGGGAGCCTGGTGGCTGCCAATCCGGAACACCGCTTCCTTGACTTCGAGAGGCGAAACAGGAGCTATCAATGCTTCATTCATCTCACTAGTAACCCTTCAGGAAAGACCCAAAGAATCCACATACAAGGAGGCATCCACATTGTTAGTAGAAAAAATGGATTGATAGTAGGGGATAGCTACACCTGCCATGGCTTCTTCATCATTGTGTAGAATCCCAGCCTCATCCCTTAACCCCCGCAGCCGATTAAACCTTCGTCGTTGTAATACCGTACGGTGGAAAAGGTTGGTGTTGGCATCCCCTTCCCGGAGCCAGCCAACTCTGGATTTTTGACGCCAGAAGCCCTCCTCTTCAACATATGCTGCCGACAGGTCACGTTCAAGAAGGCGAATCGCGTCCCAATCCACCTGGGCTGACTCGCGAAGTTCCTCGATGGCCGACCGAAGCTCCCTAATGCGCCGAGCCGAATTGGACGTACCCAATCTTGCCCATTCCACCAGGTCATGGCGGGCTGTTTTAAGCTGGTTAAAGGCACGGAATTGGGCTGTCCCCCGCATCGGTTTGGACCAGGCTCTTTGGATTACCTCCATTGCCTCCTCATTCGAATTCCACCTCCCATCAAAGTGGAATCTAGTATGCCGATGGTGTCCCTGATTGGCCAGGATGTTTATTTTGGTCAAAGTTCAGGCCATACGAAAATATTAACCCTAACCAAAATCATAAGTGAACTTTTAGGCTATTAATAATTAAGTATTTAAACCGTTAAAAAGGGGAGAAAGCCACGAGCCAGGTGGCATGACTGTTGACTCTCGTCGTAAGAGTCCCGCGGAAATAAAGGAAAGCCGTTCCAGAAAGAACCACCCATTTCTTTCTTCCTTTACATTCCTTCCGTTCGATTTTTCTCCCTCTGCGGCCACATTCCTGCTATATTGGAACCAAACGCCAGGAGGAACATCGTCAATCTCCCAAATTACCTAAAAAATTCTTTCTCATTCCCACAAAAAAAAAAAAAAAAAATGGCCGTCTCCGATCACCGACATCACCGGTCTCTGATCCCAAGCTTCGTCTACTCCTCCCCCGTCTCCACCAACAAACTTTTCGGTCTGAACGACTCCGCTTCGCAAAAATCTACCTCCAACGCGTCCTCCGTCAGTGGCGATGGCGGAACTGCGTTGCAGAGGTTCGCGATCCCTGCCCCGAGCGAGAAGATTGCGATGTACTCGCCCGCTTTCTACGCCGCCTGTACAGCCGGTGGTATTTTCAGCTGCGGCCTCACTCACATGGCCGTCACTCCTCTCGATCTTGTCAAGTGCAATATGCAGGTAGGTAACCCTCTGCCCGCCGGTTTCGCTTTCCTTTCGTCTACTTGTTTGTCTATCGCCGGATCAATTCTCCGAGGATTTCTTCCTCCGTCGATCAATTTACTGTCATACGTCGTCATATATAATCACGGAATTCAAATTGTATGTTTGGCTAGCTTGTATGAGTTACGTATTGTCACCATGAAATCTGCTATTCAATGGCAGAGACTTTTTTGCTCTGCAGTGGTAATTTCAGAAGTTGTAGAAAACTATAGCAGCCGAATCTTTCTCGAATCTAAATGCCATCCTGAGCTTATATAAAAGTAAAAAACTCAGCAAATTTGTTTTTCAATGCTTGCGTAAGAAGTGGAAGCGCTTCTGGTGGTTCATATAAATTTCTGTCCCTGTGGAGAATTTTTTTTTGTTGCCAATGCGATGATCTCTGGTTTGTATATCCAGATCAACCCAGCCAAGTACAAAAGCATTACATCTGGGTTTGGAGTATTGCTGAAAGAACAAGGGGCGAAAGGTTTCTTCAGGGGATGGGTGCCTACACTGCTTGGTTACAGTGCTCAAGGCGCCTGCAAATTCGGGTTCTACGAGTTCTTCAAAAAATACTACTCAGACATGGCCGGCCCCGAGTTCGCAACCAAGTACAAGACCTTGATCTACCTTGCTGGTTCTGCATCTGCTGAGGTGATCGCCGATGTCGCTCTCTGCCCCTTGGAGGCAGTGAAGGTTCGCGTCCAAACCCAGCCTGGCTTTGCCCGTGGTTTGTCAGATGGATTCCCCAAGTTTGTCAAAGCAGAAGGCTTTGCTGGGTAAACATAATGACCATTCATTGATAATTCCTACTGTTATAACTGCGATTTTCACTTGAGTCTAAAGCGAGATGACCCCTACTCTTTCTGCAGATTATACAAAGGCCTTGTTCCACTGTGGGGACGCCAGATTCCATGTAAGCAAAGCAATTTTCATTTTTGTGGCCAGCTGATTGATGAGTGAAACAAGTCGTAATACGTTGGGCACTTTGCTGCAGACACGATGATGAAGTTCGCATCGTTTGAGACGATTGTGGAGCTAATCTACAAGCATGCCATCCCGGCCCCGAAAGAGCAGTGCAGCAAGAACTTGCAGCTCGGGGTTAGCTTCGCCGGTGGATACATTGCAGGTGTTTTCTGTGCTATCGTCTCGCACCCTGCCGACAATCTGGTTTCTTTCCTCAACAACGCCAAGGGAGCAACGGCCGGCGATGTGAGTGTGTGAAAACCCAATTCTCCCTCCCTCCCTCCTTTCGTGCATATCCCATTTCCGGTTGTGACCAACCAGGCATATACTTGTTGCTGCAGGCGGTTAAGCAGCTAGGGCTATGGGGGCTTTTCACCCGGGGGCTTCCTCTCCGAATCGTCATGATTGGTACGCTCACAGGAGCGCAATGGGGCATCTACGATGCGTTCAAAGTGTTTGTGGGACTGTGAGTTGCTATCTCTGTAACTGTCATTGATTTCGACTGCATTCATTCCTCAAAGCTTTAGCTTCCTAATGACTTGTTTCTCTCTTGCCCGGTTCGTTTGTCCAGCCCAACTACAGGTGGAGCTGCCCCTCCTCCCATAAAGAATTGAAGAAGAGAGCGAGTTCATGTGGCGAACTGAACGAGATTATCAACTTCTGAGTAGCGATCTACTGCCAGGAGATCGATGGTTAAATAATAGTAGCTTAGTATTTGGATCTCAGTAATTGCACCACAGCACCAAACCAATTCTTTTCAAAACAAACATACACTCTTGCTATTCCATTGAATTTTTCTGCCACAAATAGTGATTTCCATTTTTGTTTTCTTTTGGGACGGAAATCAAGGGACAGGTTTATTTAACCCTAGCCGTTTAAGAAGTCATGATATCATCGACGTTGGTCTGGTATTCATTAAATTTTGATACTCTGATTATTGCTGCTTTCTATTATTGTTGAATCTCCCCCTCCGGCCTCCCCCAACTTCCACTTCCAAGTACGAACGAATAGTACAAGCAGTAGAAGACAGAAGAAACAGGAAGGCACATTCTAACACGCGAAAGTTTTACCTGTTGGCTGTCCGAACTTCGAACATATGTACACGACACAAATTCTTCAAAAATATAAATAAACAGAAGCAGGATTATAACAATTAATAAATCGAAGATCGCTCTTGTGAATGGCTATTGAGTTAATATTTTTGGTTGAGTGGATAGACAGTATCAAAGACCACTCTTGCGAATGTATGCCGAACTTCATGCAAGCTCCCTATGCTCAGCAACTCATGATTTATCTTTCTACCTTGCTTGGCCACGAATCCCCTTTCCTTCCCTTCTCCGACACACTCAAAGATCCTCCGCACTCTCAAATACAAGGCCAGTGGGATGAACACCTGCACATTGCGCGCCACAAGACAAGAGGTTGGTTGTTCAGTTGCCATTTGACTCTGAAAATGGGGTGGCACAAGTTAAAAAGGCAAAGAGAGAGAGAGAGCACTTGCCATATCTGAATAAGGAGCTTTAGGGTACTTAGCCATGGCCTTGGAGACATAGTACTCATCAGTCATTCGAGATAACTCCTGCTTAACAGATGCTGAAAGATTCATAACCTCATTGACAAGTGCACGTGAATCTAGAAGCTGGGGTTCTAACAATTCATGGTAGCTTTTATCATGTGGCTTGGTAATCCTCTTTGCTATCTTCACTGCTTCTGATGTATCTCCCCCATTGTGAACGGCAAGGCAAAAGGTGGCAACTACCATGGGATCCCTTGGGTTGTCAGACAGTGCTTTATGAAAAGCCAACATTCCAACCCTGCAAATTTCAAAGCCATTGGATTGATTTACTTCAACACATCTGATACACCCAGCTTGAGAAGCGTACTAGATTACAATATATAGCTGAAAGTTCGGAAATCAAGATAGGTTTTAGGTCCATCCAGTAAATGGCATCTTAAATTTCAAAAGTGTATGCTTCAGTGAGCATGATTCGAAACCCTATTCAGCAACTACAATTATCCCTAACAGTAGTATACTAAGACTTTGATACAACTCCACTCTCAGAAACTTAACCAAGAGTTGAATGCAGCGGGCGTGACATGCTTGCAAATATTGTCCAATCTATTAGGAAAAAGGAAACTATAAAATTTGATTTTTTGGGGTGAATTATTACCATAAGCTGCTATGGCATGGTTTGTCTGGTGCAACAAGTTTATCCAAGCGAGAAAACAATGACTGCAGACGTAAAACAAGGCATGTTAGAAGACAGGGAAGTCCTTGAATCTTTGTGGAAGTGTTAAGGGATCTTAATGTTAGCAAAGACTAGGTGAAAAACCAATACAATTGAAAAACCAGATAGCAGATGCTTTTAGCAACATGAGAAACTGTAAATAGGAAAATAAAGAGAGCAGCAGCATATTACCAACAGCATATTTGATCTGGTATCACGTCTCCTAAAACCATTTTGAACAAAGTATGATGCCTGCCAGAAAAAAAAAAGAGGTGCATTAGATTGATGTGTATTAATTACTTATTGTTCATTTAGTAATCATCAGATTTGGTACTTTTTGGGATATTTGTGTTTTAATTAATTGTTTGAGTAGGTTTAGTTATTGTTTAGGAATCGTATTCCTTCTTTTTTTAGTGTTGATGTAGTTTCTTCGGGAATAAGTTACCCTTGTCAGATAAGTTGCCGACTAGGTTTCTAGACTTCTACTTTGGATATGTAAGTTGTCCGTTGGTTTTGATTATGACTAAGATTGAACCCTAATTAGCTAAATCAATTGTCTGCTTCTTCCTTCAATTCTTCTTGTTCTTGTCCTCAAATTTTCTAGTTTTCTTATCTCGGATTCCTCTCAAATGCCATCTCACGGTGCATAAACGTTTATACGCATCAATTGGTGTAAGAGTTTGGTTCTGCTCAACATCAAAATCCATGAGCGATGGCACCTGTAAGAAACACCCTTCTTCGAGTTTCTTACTGTTAACGTAACTGGATAGAAAGAAGGAATTTAGGGGTTGAGAATAGAAATTAGGGAATTGGGGAAGAACAGAAAGAACGGCCGAGGCCTTTTTAGGTGAGAGAGAGAGACGAGATTGAGAGAGAAAGAGATTAGGGTTGAGGGAGATAATTCTACTATTAATCTTTGCTTAATCGTAAATGAATACTCGAATACATATTTATAGGAGAATACTGGAATAAACCTGATAATAATCCTAATACGACTCGAATACTACTAACCCTAATAATAATTATCCTACCACAATTAATTAGAGAAACCCACGAAAAGTGTGTTTCTAACAATCCACCCTCCTTGGAAGCGACCTTGTCCTCAAGGTTGCTGTCAACTTCCGCTTTCTCGACCTTCCGCTTTCTTCGCTTCCAATTGCGCCAAAGCTCGCAAATGAATTCTTCTCCGTCGTCTACCATGGCTCTCGATGCCTTTCGAATGTCGTGCAACTTATCACCTTCTCCATATCCAAATGATTCTTCCTCCTTACTTTCGAAGTCCACAAAATAAGAGTAAGAGAACTGTTCTTCCTTATGCTCTCCCACCAGGCCACCACCTTGAAAACTTCAATGAATTGCTCCACCAATTCTGTCAAGTGCTGGGTGGTGAAGATAAATTCTTTTGGGCTCCATCCTTCTTCAAGTGAATTTGAATTAAGCTTCATTGAAAGCCCAACTCCTAAATCAAACAACCTACAACTTTCTTTCTTCAAGCTATCTTCCTGCAAGGTTAGTTCAATGAGACAGCCCATTGGTGGCCCAAACCACTCCTGAAAATTCGGCCTTTTATTCACTTGAAACTCCTTTAATTTCTTCTGACTAAGCTCATTACAAGTCCTTTGCGAGCCCCAATTCACCTCAAATGGCCCCCCAATAGAGCTCCACTGGTGGCCGAGACTTCTACCTTCTTCCTCAACAATTGGAAACCGCCTCTTCCTCCCATCTATTGACGCGGCCCACTTCTTACACAGCTGCAGCCCGAGACTCGTTCGAACGCAGCAGCTATACTCCAGCATGGCCCAACAAACTCGGCCCAACAGGTCTAGCTCCACATGCTGCGGTTTCAGGCTCTGAGTTGGTGACCTAGGGACCGAAAGAAGAGGGGCGCCGCCCTCCACCGTCGTCCTCACTGTCATCTCCTTCCTCGACGGCGTGTTGTCCCGCCGATGACCAGGCGCCCAGGCCGAATCAGTCACCGCCTTCATCGCCGTCCTTTCCTCCGACCGAGGCCACTGATTCTTCGCTTTCTCTGGCGACCCGTGAGGAAGCTCGCCCTCTCCGTTCCACTTCTCAAACTCAGACAAGTAGAGGATTCCGCTCCCGCCGCTACGTTTCTCAATCTTCGGTAAACAGCCAATTCCGTTGCGATGAGGCAAGTTCGACATGCCCACCGCGTCGGACGACGCCAACTTCTCCTCTTCCACCCTTTTCTTCTTTCTGAATTTCCAATTCAGCTCCTGTTGAGACTGCCACAACAAATCCCAACCATAATCAGTACCATAATCTATCACACTAAAGATCATTGGCGTCGGAGAGGTAGGGTCATCGCTCAATTCGTTCTTTGCAACAGCGACTGTCCGGATTTGAACAGCAGCAGTTGTCGTGGTTGGTTTGTTGCAGTGTTTAGTTGACGGCAGCAGCTTTTCTTCCCTCCGCGCCGTCTGCACCTCCGAGATTGGCGTCACCGCAGCGGTAGACTGCTCCGGTTTGCTCTCTTGTCCTGCGACGGCGATCGTGACATCATTGGAGATCTCCTCTGGTGTCGCCATGATTGAGGGCGAAACCTCCACAGGATTCGATTCCTCCTTGTCAACGGCTTCTCCCTCGTCTATTTCCAATGTGTCCTCTTCATCCTCCGCCTGCTGCGCTGCCGCCTCGGCTGGTCTCGTCGAGTCGGGCTTAGTCGCCCCGGTGCCCGTGTCCTCTGCCGCCGAGAACCGCACCCTCCAGGCCTCGTTGAAGCGCCGGAGCTCCTCCACTGCCAGCTCACCGTTGTGTTCGTCATCCTCTTTGTCACTCGATGCAGCCAGAGAAGCAGCGATCGCCTCCGCCGCCGCGTCGACTACGCCTGCCTGGATCTTGGTCGTCGAGGCCGAAGGTGGAGCTCTGCTCGTGGCTCCCTGTTCGTCGACAGTCGAGTCCGATTGACGCAGCTCGGGCTTCTCGCACTCCAAGCCATCTCCAGGATTTTGATTCTTCTTCTTGAATTTCCATCCGTCATTTGATGGATCCAATTGGACTAGCGTTGATGATGGAACAATGTTGGTGGCGATTGGTGACGACGTAGGGAAGGAGATTGAAGCTGCAGCTGCAGTTGATACCAAGTGAGGATTGCTGGGAGCGGAAGTTTCAGTCGCTACTCCCCAAGGTTGGATGTCGATTGAAACAGGCTGTGGTGGTGGAGATTGAATCGCGGCAGTAGCAATAATGGCCATACCCTTTGCGGCGACTTCTTCTTCCTCAATCAACGATTCCCGCGTATCCTGCGAGATGATGATTTTGGGAACCTTGATGGTAAAACTGCCTTCTCTGAAGCTAGCGCGGCATTGTGAGACATTGTAGATTTCTCCGAATTCGATTTGCTTTTCAAAATGGATCCATCTGCGTTCGTAACCCAACGAACGCTCTGCTGTAATTGTTAGCACATTTGATTCAATTCTTTGTACATCTAGGTGCTTAGCCTCGAACCCAGGCAAGGAAAAGAATAGCTTGATGCAATGAGGATAATCCTGTCTGCAGATCTTTGGCTCGAAGTCTTCATAGATGCGCTCCTCCCTGGTTGAGAGTTGTGATGAACTCATATTCGCAACCGGAGCTCTGATACCAATTGTAAGAAACACCCTTCTTCGAGTTTCTTACTGTTAACGTAACTGGATAGAAAGAAGGAATTTAGGGGTTGAGAATAGAAATTAGGGAATTGGGGAAGAACAGAAAGAACGGCCGAGGCCTTTTTAGGTGAGAGAGAGAGACGAGATTGAGAGAGAAAGAGATTAGGGTTGAGGGAGATAATTCTACTATTAATCTTTGCTTAATCGTAAATGAATACTCGAATACATATTTATAGGAGAATACTGGAATAAACCTGATAATAATCCTAATACGACTCGAATACTACTAACCCTAATAATAATTATCCTACCACAATTAATTAGAGAAACCCACGAAAAGTGTGTTTCTAACAGCACCCTCAAAGCGACCGCAACCTTAACATTCCCAAACAATACGTTGGACGAGGAAACCATCCAAGGGTTGCTGCAAGCTCAGAAAACTATTTAAGAGTGGACGCAAGTCCAGCAAGACATGGCTACCTAGAGGATAGCATGACGAAGCACGAATTAGGTATCAGTCTATAACCGACCTCCAAGGCCGAGTCCAAAGTTTGCAGGTGCGTCAAGAAGGGCTTCAATGAAGCCAAGAAACATTGCAATTCGGGCAGGCAAACTTACAGACTGGAAATTGTGATGACTGTTACACTTATGGGCATATTCCTCTGCTTCACTTACAGCGAGGACAGAAACTGTTACACCAACTGCAAACTTAGACTGAGGACAGAAACACCATTACCTCCACCACAAGAGGGGGTAGCTCGACGTAGGCACGACTGTCTTTGCTATAATTGTGATGACTGTTACACTTATGGGCATCAAAGTGCCAATGGATTGGAAACTTTGATGAAGGTGGTGACGAGGCGGAAGATGAGGCAAAAGGGCAACCTCGGGACAAGGTTACTTTAGTAATTTTCGGTTTTGACACTTTTGGATATTGGTGGTTTGATTAATTGTTTGAATCTGTTTAGTTATTGTTTAGGAATCATATTCCTATTTAAGTGTTTAGTTTCTTTATGAACAAGTTACCGAATCCTTGCCAAATTCGTGAGATCAGATTTTTCGACTTCACTAATATATAATTTGTCCGTTGGTTATGATCATGAATACGATTGAACCCTAATAGTTGAATCCCTTAGCTTCTTCTCGTTCTTCCGTTAATATTTCTCGTTCTTGTCGTAATTCTTCTAGGTTTCTATCTCGGAATCCCTCTCAAATTCTCTTCTCACTGTGCGTAAAACTTTACACGCTATAACTTAAAACTAATTTGGGACAGGGACTAATTTACAACAGGAAATAAGCAAACCTGAATAGGCAGGAGTATCTCAAGAAGCCCGAATTTCCATAAAAGGCGCAAAGAAGCTTCTGCCGAACCATATGCTAGCATGTAATTCATTTCCATCATAATCCTTGTCTAGCAAATCCGAACAAAAGTTGGTTAGCCAGCAAGTTCTAGCCTTTGACTGCATGGCGAAGTTGTTGGAAGCACTAGAATAAAAACAGCAGTTATACCTTATCAAGTCTTGAAACTGAGCCAGACAAATTCTTTACATAGCGAGCTGTATCCTTAGAGAATCGAAATTCTAGGCGAGCAGCAATCCTAACTGCACGTAGAATGCGAGCTACAAAGAAGAGCAAATGAATTAGAGCCATCGTAGTTAAGAGTCAAATTGCAGACACAGATACAGATAATCAAAAGGAAATTTGTAAACAGAACACTCACCACAGTCTTCCTGAAAAGAAGCACTAGCAGGAATCACAGTGCGCACCTGCATTTGCATAAGGCATTGTGAGGTAAAGTATTCCTTCTGATAAGTATAGATGACCAACTAATGTTGAAATACATGCACACTTTAGCCTTTCTAATATCTTCCAGACCTCCCAAGTAGTCGTACACAATTCTTGCGTATGGATCAAACATCAACCTGCATGCAAATTGAGAAGCATGCTGAAACAAAGATCGTCAAGGAAACAAAAGAGGGTAGATCGCATGTAGAGCAGCAAACAAGACATATAAGAGAAAATCAACTTTAAGAAAACCAAATCTAAACTATATGCACTTCCTGGCACCAACCCATTAATTGTGAAGTCACGCCGCATGCAATTTCCCCAACGAACAAAATCCTTCTCCTCACAGTCAACAGGGTTCAAAAATTTAGAGTTCCAAACGCCATGAACTGTCCTTCCTGTTGTACTAAAACTTGACACCTGTTTCCAAATTATATTAAGAGTGCATATGAATGCAACCAACCAGTAAAAACGAGAGAAAGGAAAAACATCAAACAATTGACTTGTTGTAGAAGTGTGCTTAAACTATCACTTCGATAATTCTACTAGGAGAAAAGGATAAAAGAGCATACCTCAATGATAGTGTCATCAATGTGTACATGACAAATGGGGAACCTTTTGCCAACTATTTGGCAACATGAAAAGGCTCTTACCACCTGAAACCAGGAAAACCAACTCAGCGGCTATCTCAAGCAAATGAATAGGAATTTCAGCCGTTGAACATCAAAATTCTAATACAAACAGACCCAGAGCATGACCTCTTTAAGCTGTGCTGATGTTATTACGTCAAAATCCTTTGGGGTTCGCTTCAGGATAAGATCGCGAACACACCCACCAACAAGATAAACCTCATACCCTGCAAAAGGAAAACATATCAATAACTATCATCATCCTCAAACAATTACTCCAAAGAAGAAGAAAACCAACCAATAAAGCCAGGGGATAAAGAATCACCTTTTTTCTTGAGGGCATTGAGAACTCTCCTTGTAGGTTTTGCTATCATAGAAGTGCTAATTCCAAGGTCCTCGGAATTCAGCTTCTTAAAAGCTGGGGTCTTTTTCCCTCCGTTCACTTCGCTCCCTGGACATATTGACGATCATGAACTCAAACACACACGAATTACAGAGAGATAGAAACCAAAACCGAAATCTTTTCTTTCCTCCCACCAAAGCAGGGAGCTTTCTAACGACTCGGATCACTTGCCTGAGGCAGCAGAGCCTCCCGAACTGTAACTGTTGCGTTTGACGGAGGCCTCGGGTTCATTCAGCATCTCAATTGCCGCAACAGCACCATATCTAGCCTATATGGACAAAGGAAAGGGATAAATGCAAGAAAAGGGCATGTAGCTGCTCCAGATATCAAATCGATGTTCCAAACGAGGAGAAATTGTGGAAGATAAGAAATTACTTTGCGAACGCAGTAGAACATAGGTGGCCGGAGAGGCATGCGAGGTCCACAGGCAAATCCTAAGCCGGAAACCACCATTCTTCTCTCTGAGCTACTGCGTCTGGATTCAACCTACTCCAGCCAGCGGGCAGCTGATTGACGTTAGTGCGTCTGATGATTGGGATAAACTTAAACCCCCACCCCCAACTGTCGCTGGCTGGTTAGAAGAGAAAGGGGTTTTGCGTTTTTATTACTAGGGTTTTAGTTGACACCCTAAAATTGAAACGCAGCCCCATCTCTTACATGTTCATATCATGGTAAAGGAAACCGTACCGGAAGTCATACCGGATTCGTCTATGGTATGGTATTTTGTGGTATGACCGTGGTTCAATCGTTGTGTACCGGTAAAATACTGTTTTTGTAATTAAAAAATATTTTTTTGTTAAAAAACCGTACCGGCAGATTGTGTATACCGTTTCGGAGTAATACCGGAATAAAACCGGAATATATCGCCCACTTATAAGGTTATAACTTTACAATTCCAAACCTAGTTAGCATTAAAACAAAATAATGAGCGGACCACAATAAACCAGAATATTTAACCACAGTTTTTGAGTTCGACATGACATGCTTTGGAGGCTAATTATATCGCTAACAGTTTAATCAAACGATTAAAGTGTCCATTATTTTAATTTACTAGTTTAAAACCCACTCGATGGTGAAACTTCCTTCTCCTTCAAACCTTTCTGTCTCTCTCCCTCCCAACCTCACTCTCTCTCTCACCAATAATCCATTCCTTAATTACAGAACTTTCCCCTTTTCCTTCGAGCATACCAAATATGAACCAATTGGTTAAACATAGAGAGGGTACTGCATGCTATTGACAACAGATCTGGTGACGGCCGGGAAGTTAGAAGCTGAAGGGGATGGAAAGAAGATATCAAGCGGTGAGATTTGGCCTTGGCTGCTCGCCGCAAGGTGCTCCATCAATTGGTTTCTCAGATGAATAACGAAACGGAGAGGCGGCGGCAACGGATCAATCCATGTCCCGATTCTTGCATGCAGAATCACCAACGGCGGATTTCTCTCCCCGATCATATATTGCCTCAATTCCCTCCCTCCGCCAGCTCTCCCTTCGCCGGCTCTTCATATGCCTCTACCGACCACTACCCTCCCCCACAGTTCAAGATCTACATGATGAACAAAGTCTCTTTCAGATGCAGATTCGACCTTTTTCTGGCTTCCTCCGTCAATTCGATCGGCGATTTTATCTCCTTCCCCAAATCGACAGTCACCGCCGCCGACAGCAACAGGCTGTCTCACGTTCTTGAGCAGGGGAGGGAGGCTCGAGCAGGCGGCGGGGCTGAGGAGGAGTGAAGAGGAGCGGCGGAGCAGAGCAGGGATCTGCACGACCTTTCGCCGGTCGCCACTCGCCAGAGCAGAGAAGACGAACGACATAGTGGCAGAGCAGGGATCGGCTCGGCGGATCAGGGTCATGGGTCGCGGGTTGCTTTCGAGCTTTCGCTGGTCGCGAGTCTCCGGTCGCAGGCCGCCAGTCACGAGTTGCCGGTCACAGCTCGCAGGTCGCCAGTGGCCAGAGGAGAAGCGGCGGGGCGGGGTGGAGCTGCGCTGGGAAAGAGAAACTATGAAAGGGGCTTTTCATTAGATTAGGGTTTTTGCATTTTAGCCTTTGGCCAAATTTTTTTATATATATATATAATTTGATGTGTCTAAACGACGTCATTTTTCTGCCTACAGTCTACCGGCGGTTAGACCAAAACCGGGCGATATTTCATTTTGTACCGGTTAAGCCGGAAAAACCGACCGACACGATATTCTGCCCACAAACAGCCTACCGTATCGTTTCTGGTCCGGTTCCGGTTTTTCCGGTTGAACCGGCCGGTACGATCCGGTTTCCTGGTCCATGGTTCATATCAATCGGCACCGGAATCATCTGCTTGCGTGGCCGAGGTAGGGTGTACTTAGGGTCTTAAATTCTCACAATTGATATATTTCTTCGACTAATGTATTACTATTAGAATGGGTTAATAGCATTTTATGCTCTTCTATTTTTGCAAGTTAACAAACATACTTTTTTATTATTTTTTTCACTTTCATCTTTTTATTATTGCAACATAACAAACATACCATTCTGTCAATATTTCCGTTAGTTGACCGTTAAATGACATACGAAATGACTACATTGCCCTTCTTTCTAACTTATTTTATAATTTTTTAATATAAAAAATAAACTAATTATTTTACTCTTTAATTTAGTATTACTTTATGAATTTCCCCAATTTCTACCACTCCCCTCCAATTTCTTTCATCGCACAAACTCTGTATCTTCATCTTCAGAAACTCAAGGCCCAACTACTCCTTCGTCGATCAGTAGAGAGAGAGAAACAAAATAATTTATTTGTCCTACCATGAACTCGAGCTTGAACAATTAGGGTTTGGATTGTTGCGGTTTTGATAAGCTCCGGGTTTGGTGTGAGAATTCAATCGGAAATCAGCAGCCAAAGTGAAAGGAACAGCAAGTCTGCTTCTTGTAGTGAAAGGCAACTATGACGGGATGTTTATCATGTTGAGGCAACAACTATTCCTAGAGGTGTTTCTCTTGCCTTCATCTCATCTTTACATGTTTTCTGAAAACCCTAAATTTTTTTATTTTCTTTGTTTACGGTTAGGGTTGTATGTAAAAATTTAAATCCTCTATCACTAAGGTCTTAGTTTAGGAGAAGAATTGGGCGGAGCAGAGGAGCAATAGATCAATAGAGGTAAAGGTTGTTGCTGCCAGAATGGTGAACTGCGATGGCCGGCAATGGCGAAGGAGTGGGGAGTAGCAGGCTAGCCGTCGATATTCATCGGACCCTAGCGCGACGTTGGAGGACAATTTTTTGCCGGAGTTGTCGATGATAAAAATGGACATTGGTGAAGGTATACGAAGAGTTGGAGACGATAGATATTGAAAGGATGGGATTCCTAAAAATAAAGAAATTCAATTATTAATTTATTTTCTATGTTTAAAATATTTATTTTATAAGTTAAAAAGAGGGGCAATATAATCATTTCGTATGTCATTTAACGGTCAACTGACGAAAATATTGACAGAAGGGTATGTTTGTTACGTTGCAATAATAAAGGGGCACGAAAGTGCAAAAAAATAATAATAATAGAAGGGTATGATTGTTAACTTACAATGGTAGAGGGGCATAAAATGCTATTAACCCTATTAGAATTAGGTATATTGAACTATTGTCTGGTGTGTGAACTTTCTTCATGTTTAACATTCTGGTCAATTCTTTTGGGGTCGTTTGGATGAGTTATTCGTATGAGTTATGTGTTATTTGAATAACTCATACGAATAACTCATCCAAACGAACACATAACTCATACGAATAACTCATCCAAACGACCCCAAAAGAATTGACCAGAATGTTAAACATGAAGAAAGTAAATAACTCATCCAAACGACCCCCAAAAGAATTGACCGGACTTTGGGTGCAAATAACCCGTTTGTCTACAAAAATTGGTGATGAGTTATTTGTACTAGGGTTAATTTGAAATAACTCATTAATGAGTTATTGTCAATACCTCATAGGGGGTAATTATTATGAAATAACTCACAAATACCACATTCTCATTTTGTGCGGAATTCCACTTTTATATTAACTCGTATTTAATGTTTGTGGTCTGAACCAACTATACACTTTATCAATTTGGTCAAGGCCATCGACCAACGGTCAACCCACCATGCCATCGCCAACTCAACATCTTTTAACTTAATATAACTAGATTTTTCACATAATCCCTTTTTTGTTATGACCGGAAAAAAAATTAAAAACCAAAATTGGGACTTATCGGGACCCTCTTGAGGGTAAAGCTTCTTCAATAGGGAGGCACTTATGTGATCCTCCAGAGCGATCCAAAACCACCCTACTCGAAGTGGGAAGAAGGATGCACCTCATGGAAGCACAAAATTCCCAGTGACAAGACCAATTCCACGCCCGTGGAATAGGTGTTTAGACCGATGAATTTGGACAGGGGCAATTCCTAGGGGTGGTTAACGGTATTGTGGTTAACGGTTTAACCGATAATCGTACCGATAACCGCGGTTACCGGTTAAACCGTTAACCGTTGTTCACGGTATTCGGAAGCTGGGAAGTTGCCTTCGGTATACCAGCATGGAAACAGTATATTACCGTCGATAGCTCGCTATTCCGATACCGGTGGAAGGACAACCCTCCCCAAACCCTACGACCCTACCTAATTAACCTAGTATTACTAATTAGGTTAGTAAATTACAAAATGAGTAGTTAATAGCAAAACTCAATTTTCAATTTTCATCGCTCTTCCAAGTTCCATCTGTGATCTGTCTGCCGTACGAGTATGACGGTCACACCGCACGATCGATCCTCGACTCCAAACGCCGGCCGCTGCCCCATAGCTATCTGTAGAAATAGAAAGAATCCTCGCCCTCCCCGTCGCTGGCGCACGCTCGACCCAGCAGCCCAGTCTCCATCGGGCCCTGTTTCAGTCGACCCTCGTCACTGTCAAACCCCTTTTTCGACGACCCCGTCGCCGTCGGGCCCTTATCCGTTCACCCCTGTAGTCCTCGGTCTTGTTTCCGTCGATCTTGTTGCCGTCGTGAGCTTCCCCAGCAGCCCAACAATGTGTTCTTCTCTCCTTGGATTTAAGGCTTTTTGGGTAATTTTGGTTGACTTCGTTTGTTTATTTGTTATCACTTTGTTTAATTGATAGCAGAGTTCCATTACCATTCTTATTGTTTGTTTAATTCTTCTTTTTGAACTTTTGCTTTTGAATGTGTTTTTGTCAGTTGTGTGTGTTTGGTCAGCAGAGAAGCATCCGAATTATAAGGCAGACAAATGAAGCACTGAAGCAGAGGTCGCCCTCGGTAAAACGGGTATACGGCCAATAACTGATACCGTATGAATTCGGTGTTCGGTTTACCGAGTTATTTCGGTATCGGCAAACACTGGAATTGTGCTTATGTTCGGTATACCAGTAACCGGTCAAACGGTAATCGGTTAAATCGGTTACTGACCGTTTACCAGCCCTAGCAATTCCCCACCCAAGATACCAATTCCACGCCCGTGGAATTGAAGGGCTGGCCGTGGAATTTGCCTGACGAGTTAAAATGACCTTTTGTGTTTAGGATCATTTTCCTTTTCGGATTTTTGTTTAGTGTTTGCTTCTCTAGCCTATATAAAGGCTTGAACTCGAGTTTTATCACAAACATTG